CTCTACCGAACACGCCCTTAATACATCACGTTTTTATTTATAGACATTAATACATCACGTTTTTGTTTCTAAAAAAAATTTACTGTTATTACTTTACAGGTGTATGGTATGTAAAGAGGGCAAATAAATTTTTCTTTAGAAATGTGAGATTCCTTCTGAAAATTTTGTCATATGGATCCGTCTTTTTTACTCCTTTGACATTATGATTGTCCTTCTTCTGGCTTTTGTCTTTCATCTTGTTTTTATTTTGCTTCTCGTTTTTTCTCCTTTGCATGTCTTTTGTCTTTTGTGTTTATTTGTCCATCATTTCTATGTAGGTTTCTTCTAGATTTTCATCCATTTCATAAGTTTGGCCGTCTGAAATGTATTCTTCTTCTTTTGTTTCTGATTGTCTTTCTGCTGATTCATCATCCATTTTTTGAAAAGCCATCAAATATAGCTGCTTTTGTTCAAAATTAGGGGCTTGGATTTTTTCCATTTTTAACCCTTAAAGCAAGTTGCTCTTGACAGAAAATAACTTCATTGTTCCATTGAGCTACAAGTCTAAAATCATTATTTTGAGCTTCCATTAATGCCACGGTTTCTGAAATTTGTCTTTCGTAATCAATCTGAAACTTCTCTTGTAAAGAAATCACGTTAGCTAATGTGCATTTGACAACCCTACCTTTAATGAACGAGCAGAGGTGTAAAATTTGCCGGCTCCCAGATCACAATCAATGTCCAATCGTATAAGTTATATTCCAGATTTTTAGTTAAAGATTGAGACCCATTTTTGGAATAGTAAACGTTCGAATTGGGAAAAACAAGAAAAAAAAAATGAAAAAAAAGAATTTTGAATTGTATTTTTAGGAGAATGTGAGTAATTGAAAAGTAGAAAAAAAAATTGAATTCACATGAAGCAGAGATGGAGATAGGGGGGTAGGGGGCGACCACCCCCAACATTATCCGCTGGTTCACTATTTCTAGTTAATTTGTAATATATTTTTCAGTTTCGCCCCGCAAAAATTTTGACTCGCTCCCGCAAAATTTTGAAATTTTTTTTATATTAATAAATATTAATCCAATAACTTACACTTTAAAATTCAACCATACAAAAATCTTAGATCTAAACAAAAGATCCAATAGTTACTTAAATAAATAAATAAATAAATAGCACAAATCCAATCCAAAAGCAAAGGACCCATTTATGAATCAATTACCCAAAAACATACCCACTAGCCCCGATTACAGACACCCATCATTCTTCCTCAAATCTCTTCTCTGCGCGACAGGCGATTGAATTGAACATTGAATTTCAGTACTGATTTGAATTATATTGTGAGTAGTGGGTATTGAAATTAATTTGAATTACTGGGAATATTTA